GTGATTTAAAATACTAAGTTCTTAGCGCATTCAGTATAATGGCAGGAATAAAATAGCAAATAATAGTTTTAATACACTTTGATCATACTTGCACACTAGTATTTATGTAGTATGCCTTTATAATTATCTATGGCTGTCTAAGGTTTATTTATTTTAAATCCTGTTATCTACAGTGGCTCTTAATAAGAATATTAAGCTGACAGTGGATACTCTGGATCTGAGAAGGTTTGGTCTGTGGAAAAGTGATGGTGGCTCTTCAAGAACAATCATTTTCCTTTGGTTGTCTGCTGATTATGTAGAGAAGATTGCAACACAGTTAGGAAAGTCTCTTTTCTGCAAGTCATGTGAGTAATCACTTTTCTTAAGCATGATGAAAAGGGATAGCATAGGGGGTTATTTTAAAAGGGTTATTTTGTACTCTCACCTCTGAATGTTGAGGAAAGCCTTTTTTTTTTTTTTTCCTGAAGTGAAGCTGTGTAAGACCTGAATATAGCCTTTGCTCAAGGACTCAGACTGGCACAATCCCACAGTATTTTACATTAACAAAGTGTTTACTACAAAATACCCTCTATTTGCAGTTATGATGCATTTGTGAAAAGCAGAGTTCCCAAAGGCAGAGTTGCCTTTGTGAATTTTAACAGTTTCTACCTACAGTCACCACCTTTGTGGAAGAGGGGGAAAAAAAAAAAGTTAATCACACAGAATGGTTAAGGTTGGAAGGGACCTCTAGAGAAATCATCTAGTTCAACCCCCCTGCTCCAGCAGGGACACCTAGAGCGCGTGGCACAGGACTGCATCCAGGCAGGTTTGAAGATCTCCAGAGAAGGAGGCTCCACAACCTCTCTGGGCAGCCTGTTCCAGGGCTCTGTCAACTTCACAGTAAAAAAGTTCTTCCTCACATGGAAGTGGAGCTTCCTGTGTTTCAACTTACACCTGTTATCCTCGTCCTGTAACCAGCCAACACCAAGAAGAGTTTGGCCCCATCCTTCCTACGTTCACCTCTCACATACTTGTACATATTGATCAGATCTCCTTTCCACCTTCTCTTCTCTAGGCTAATGTTAACTTTTCCCAAGGAACGAGAGTTTTTTAAAGTGAGAGACTGAGCTGAGTGTTAGCAGTGAGCTTCTTTTACATTTTTAGATCCATATTTATCAAAGTTATTAGTGGCTTTTCTAGAGA